GCGCCGCCCCCCGCCGCGCCCTGCTTCCGCCTAGCAACCAGGCCCGCAGGCCTAGCGCCCGGGGGAGGCTGGAGGACAAAGGGCGATAGAGACCAGCGCCCGGGAGGATAGAACGCCCCTCAGCTCGCTTCGCTCCCGCCCTCTCGCGCGCCGTTGCGGGGCGCTGGGAGAAGACGGGGCCATTACCGCACAGCGCCCCCTGCCGGCCGCACGGGGCCCAGCCCCCCCTGCCGGCCGCACGGGGAGAGGCGGGCGCGGCGACGCGGCCTCGCTGCGCAGGCGCAGTGCTGCGGCGAACGCTTCCCGGAGCGGGGCGGGTTCTCTGCTCTGCAGCGCAACCGAAACCGAGAAGTAGATCACTGGGGATTTAAAAACAAACCAGACAAAAGCTAGATCCGCTCAGGTGCCCACTGGCGACACCGCTGAACAACAACAACAACAAAACACTGAAAGTCGCAGGAAAAGAACGACTGAATTCTAAAATCCCTGCATATTTCTCCCGCAGCACCTCAAAACGTTGAGTAGCGTCCATACAGTAATTACTGTAGCTTCGAGAATTTACTCCTGTAGTTTAGAAATTTCCATTAAACAAAAGCATTGCCAGGTGTCAGGGAGATTTAAAGATACAGGTTCTCTCAACCATTGACCACAAAGTAACTGATTAGCAAAGTCTAGACCACACTGTAAGTGGGGCGTCAAAGGAATGCTAATCGACGTTCTCTCTCCCAATTTGAGTTTATGGTAGGAAGGATTAGAAATCTTTGGAGGTTATCTGGCTTGAAACCTGCGTAACCAAATTGGTGGAGCAATTTTGGACATTTTTAATGTTAAGTTTTCTAAGAATTCCTCGAAAAACAGGACAGTAAATCAGCGGAGCAAGACGGTGCACCTTGGTGGACGTCAGTCTGGTCTCTCCTACTTCTTACTTGCTCTGTAGACTTAGACGTTTTAAAAACAAATAACAGTATCTCCGGGCCTCCTCGTTTTCTTCTTTGCTTTGACCCCTAAAGAACAGGATCTGGATGTGGAGCTGATACTAGGTGTCTTCAGGCCACCTGGGAGGGGAAAGTGAGTCTTGTGGACTCCCCATCATTCCACCTTGTTTTAGGGTACTCAGCAGGGCCTAAAACCTGGATTATAACCATCACTGCATGCCGGAGAATAATCCCAGGTCTTAAAAATCCTGACAAATAAGAGGGCCAGCGAGGAAGGAGAGGGTAGTAGTTAAGGTGGGCTGGATCCCATTTAGCTCACATTGGGCGTGTGTGTTCTTGCCAAAATCCTGAGAGGAGAGTGGAGAAGAGTTGAAACGGTGGCTGTCGCTCCTGGGGGTGCTTTCTAACTTTCCCTCTCTCATCTCTGTCTCTGTCCCACGAATGCACATGCCCAATAGCAAATAAAAAGGGAAAAAAAGCTATAAAAGATGTTTTCACATCGTAAAATTTTTTATCCAGATTTCCCTTTCTAGTAATGTTAATACTTCTTTTTGAAAAGTTATTTATTATTATTATTTTTAGAGGTTTTTGCTGTAGCATACATGCACTCACAAGAGAGAAAGACAGAGACAGTAAGAAGGAAAGTGAAAAATCATCCCCCCAGGAGGGATGGCCACGCCACAATCCCTTCTCCTCCATTCTCCTCCCGGGATCTTGGGCACCCATGCACACATACACACCCAGTGTGATTTTCAAACCACTGTGTCCAGGACTCAAACCATGCTTTGCCATGTCTAGCAACATAACTGCTACACCATCTGCAAGTCCCTATTATTATTATTTTTAAATTTGACCAGAGAGAGAGAGAGAGAGAGTGAGAAAGCTACCAGGTCCGGGACCCAAACCATGTGGGAGTCCAGCACCTTAGGCACCATGCTACCAGCCAGCCCCAAGCAATGTTGTTACTTCTAAAACCTCTATCACAGCTTCACGGGAACCAGCAGTTAGCATAATGGCTATGTCGCTGGACTCCCACATAGTCGACCGCGGTTCGTGTCCCGGACCCGGTGGCTTAAAACTCACGCCGGGCGCGTGTGCGTGCGTGCCCAAGATCCCGAGAGGAGAATGGAGGAGAAGGGATTGCGGCGTGACCATCCCCCCTGGGGGGTGATTTCTCGCTTTCTGTCTCTATGTCTCTCTCTGTCTGTCTGGTGAGCGCACGTGCCCTACAGTGAAAATCTCTCCAAAAGAAAAAAAAAAGAAAAAAAAAAAAAGAAAACCTCTATCACAGCTTCAGAAAAGTCTTCAGCTTAGTTGGCTTGGTGCCTTTTTTTACAGGCTGCACAAAATGAATGATAAGAAATTTCCCATCTAGAAATGGAATTACGATTCTATTACCATCTGTATTTGTCAGGGTTCTCTAGAGAATCAGAATCAATAAGATAGATGATAGATAGATAGATAGATAGATAGATAGATAGATAGATAGATGAGAGAAGATATTGGGGAAATTGCTTCACACAATTATGACTGCTAAGAAGTCCCACAACAGGCCGTCTGTGAGCTGAAAATCCCGGGGTGCTGGTGGCATGACTCAGCCCAAGTTCAAAGGCCCCAGAGCAGGGAAGCCGACGCTGTAACTCTCAGTCCTAAGGCCAAGCCTGAAGGTCAGGAGACAGGGGACTGGAACTGGTGTGAGTCAAGTCTGAGGGCAGGAGCGCCTTGCGTTCTGACGTCCAAGGCAACCAAAGAGTTTATTCCATCTCTCTGTCTCTCTCGGGAGAGCCCCTCACCTCCTTGTGTTCTCCCCGAGCCCCTCGTTGGTTGCCCACATTGAGGGCCAATCTTCCCCATCTAGGGACTGAGACGGGCATGTTCATGTCCTCTGGAAACACGCTGTGAACACACCCAGAATAAGCTCTGTTAGATTTGTAGGTATTCCTCAGTCCAGTGAAGTTGACACCCGAACTAACTATCTACTTCCATAACCTGATTTCCTTTCCTATGTAACATTAAAAGCTTTGGTTCTTGAATCTATTGTCACATTTTAACTCAAAATTCATGAGGGGAAATTGTGTAATATCTTTGTGAAGTACCAATGGCTGCTTCAAAATACATACAGGAATGCTGATGGCGGATGTAATGTTGATGTATTAGTCAATGGGAGACTCATTACACTATAAACATAAAAATGTGCGAATTCAAAAGGTCGGGTTTGATGAAAGGTTTGACTCTGAATTCACTATTTTTTCAACCTGATCATCATATTAGGTGTCTTTCTACTTCCATAAGTTTCTACCAGGAAAAAAAAAAAAGAGAGAGAGAACAAAG